ATTTGTTATTTAGTAGAAATCCTAGAATTGCAAAACAAAAAATTCTCCTACATTATCACTGACAAGTTTTGCTCATATTTGTAAGAGAAACGAAGCTGCGACTTCCCAGGTAAATACAGTTATGTAACTCAGATGTAGATCTAACAGGCTGGAGCCAGAAAAGTCAAAAGTTAAATGCTTCAGGGTTGACCCCAGCCCTGCCCAAAACAATGTTTTAATATGAGACAAAGACATCCTGAATAAATCCAAAACCCAGTTTGTAAATGATGATTCAGGAAAATTATAATTTCTCCCTGCATTACATTATGAAGGAACTGCAATAAAATAAAGTTTTTGGACGGGTGAGTTAAATTTTATGAGTCACACCCAGACATGATACTGTTAGAAATTACTAAAACAGAACCTGTCTGACAACATGAAGGAGGCTGACAGGCTAATCGGTGAAAGTTCATAAATCACAAATTAGGTTTTAAACATTCTGGGTTAGCCCAGGCTGCTAGCCTCTCCAAAGCTAACGTAAATAGTTTAGCTAAATGCTGGGAGGATGGATGAAACAAACCATGTAGTTTTATCTATTAAACTGTTATAAATGTCTTCATGCTGTCCGATTTAAGAAGAGAATAGAATATGTGTTATTTTCTCACAGAGGAGACATTCAGGTGAACCAGCAGCAAATCTAAAACCTTCCCAGTTAAAATAAAAACCTAAACCAGTATCAAGTTGGAGCAGGAAATCAGCAGGAAACTTCTGCTGAAGAGTCCAGAACTTTGTTTGTACTTGTGTCTGCAAGGGAATGATTAATGAGTCTTTGAAATACAGGCAGTGATTTAAAAATACTTCACAGATGAATCACACTCTGCTTTCTGTAGTCGGTTTTATTTTTCTGAGTTTGCATCAGATTGTTTCAGTCCAGGTACCATAAAGTCCCAGCAGTCTGCCTGAACTCACCTCTCTGAGGCGGATTCCCTGACAGTCTCTCGGGTTCTGGTTGTATCATTTGTCTAAAGCAGAAACTTTCAGTGCGACACGACTCAAACAGCTTTTAACAGTTTCTCCAGGCGGAAGCTAATAATGTTGTGATCGTTCACAGAAACTTAATCCCAACTGTTGTGTGAACCTGTCGTCTCCGGAAGGTCCAGAAATTAATAAAACATCCAGAAATCGGCCCAAAGCGGAAGGACGCAAAGCGGAAGGACGCAAAGCGGCCGTCATCTCAGTTTATCTGCACAACTCAAACCTGCACAAAAACAAAACATCTATCAGTTTCTGGTGAGGGATTTCTGTTTCTGCAGCGAGACGCTGAAGGTCAGATGATCCGTCAGCCTTTGAGTTACAGGCAGCTTTAAAGGGAAGCTGTTTTACTACGAATCTATTCTTAGAAGAGGAAATAGATCATCTTCAGATGGTTCAAAGCGCTTGAGAAATGATGTTAATTGGACCGAATCGAGCAGACAGGAGTCCTTTCTGCTGCTGAGGATTCTCCAACAATGTCACCATGACGAGTCAGAAGCAACAAATTCAACAAGAGTAACCGGCAGCTGACGTCAGGAACTACAGGAACTACTCGTTTCAAAGAAGAGGGGATACGATGCATTTCTCTGGTTTCTTTCAATCAAACACTTTTTACTAAACTATCATTTTAAAATCTACTGATTCAGAAAAATAATCAGTCTGATGTGGATGTCATTTTGAGATCGGTTTCTAAACGTGTTTTCACGCCTGATAGTACGATAGATTTGGTTCGACTGATGGGTAACCTGTTCCCTCCCTGGCCTGTGGAGGCGCTGCACTAAAAGCCACTGAAAGAAATGACATAAAAAACCTCTGAAGACAGTGAGGGGAACTTCCTTCCTCACCAAATGGAAACAAAAATGAGGAGGCGTCAGATTTTAGTGTTGGAGGATTTCTCTTTTGACTAGGAGCCATTTCTCCTGCTAGCGCGCGGCTAGCAGGTTTGTTTTGGTTGCATTTACCCAGAATGCCCTGCACTGTCATCCACTTCCTGCTTTTGGAGCGGCTCAAAAAGAGTTAAGGGCTCAAAATAAAATGTTTAGGTTTTACTTTGGGGAAGTAATTTGTTCTGTCTTCTCTTTTTCTTCCGCCTCTCAACGTCATAAAAGACAAAAATGAAACTTTTTCTCTCTCCCTCTGTGTGTCATGCTTCACTTCTTCATCTCAGATTTTTATCAGCATGTTTTGGATAGTTTAGTTTTTGTATTGTCTGAACCTAGTTTGCTATCTTGTTGATTTTACTCTCCCGGTTTTGGGTTTCGCTGCCCACACACACCTGGTGTAGTTTCTAATTTCAACATCTGCATTCCTTGGATTGTTATTTCTGTGTATCCTGCAGTTCGCCTCCAGTCAGGACCGGCTTCTTTTTTAAGCTTCTGGTTTCACTGTTTCATATGGAAGCAGATTCGCCATTTAATAACATCCATCTCAGTTTTACTGTTAAATTATTAAACAGCATATTATCTTCCTCACTAAATCCAAAGGATGAACCACAGCTGACTTTCTGATGCTGTAATGAAGCTTTTAAATGAAGCTTGTTTGACCAGAGTAGAGAAGAAAACAGCCTTGACCCAGAAAGCAGTGATCTCTGTTGCAAACATTGTTGCACTCGGTTTCATTTGATGCCATCCTGGACAAACAGGCGAGTGCAACGAGGCGACATGTAACATTTTAGAGATAACGTTCTCACACGGAGCCCGGGACGTTTGGTCCTAATCTCACATTTCGAACGCTGCTGACACAAACCAACATAAAACCTTTTCCTTTGGTGCTTTGATGGAGCTGATTACCTACATGTCATGAAATAAGAGTCTACTGGAGTTGCTAGATAACAGGGTGACGTTGCATTCCAGACGGTTTATGAAAGGCTCATTTTTCCAAACACCAAAAACAAAAACCAGCAGCATGAGTTCGTTTTAAATGACTGGGATGTTTTCAGAATCACTAGAAAACCAAACGAAAGTGTGGAAATGTATAAAACTCTGAATTTCAAATGAAGATGAAAGATTACAGTTAGATTGAAATATCTACAGGAAAATCCTAGTTTAACTATGTTTGTAAGATTATGTCTAGAAAAACCCAAAGTGGAGCCAAAATGTGATTTATGTAACAATTTCCACCTTAAATAATTTTGGTTAACAGAAAAAAATGTTTTGTGCACATTATATATATTAAATAATTTAGCAATTGCAATTTCAAGGCAGAAAAATGATAAAGCAATAATCAAACAATGATCAAAAATCTGCAGATACCAAGGAGACCATAAGATAAAAAGGATAGAAATACCAAGTAGATTTAATTTAAAAGGTAAATATGTTGTAGCTGATCAAACGCAGGTTGTAGAAACATGATTGGCTCCTGTAATTAATTAAGTGGAGAGCTGGTCACGACATGATCAGAGGTTAAAACACGTCACACGCCAATTCCTCACAATGTTCACGGCGTGATTTCCTCCAAAATGCCCGTTTGTTCCTGTTTGCTTTGGTTTCAGGAGGAACCCGACACTAATTTGTTGGTTCCTTCTTCGTCCAGTGAGATCACCCTGCAAATTGCAGGCTGCATGAAAGAGTCACATATTGTGATATTTTCAGGAAGTAGAATCACTAAGATCCCTCTCTCTGCGAACAAAGGCCGCGGCGTCGCAACATCCCGACATTTGTCTCCAAATTAAAGCCTTTCAGGGGAATCTGAAGGAGAGAAGAGCTCTTCTGAAACTGCAGGGCGGTCACACATGAAAGGTTGCTCTTTGCTTTAGTTCACAGCAATTAAGAACAAGGGATTTATCAGCAAATCCATCAGATTCATGAGAAAAGGCAACACTTCCTCTTCATGCTGCGTAACGTCCCGCCGATGGAGATCAGCTCAGGAAACGAGAAGAAGCTGCAGCCACCAAGGAAACCTCAGCGGTTACAGGCCAGGATTTTAACATCCTGATGTCGGAAACCTTGTTGACGCGCTGATGGGAAATCCAGAGCTGGATTCCTGGAAGGCGACGCTCCTGAAGGCCTGATGGCCCCGAACTCTCAGCTCAACTGGAGACCAAAACTGAAACATTGGTTCAAATTTCAGCAGCTGATCGTTAACATAATGAGGGTTAAACCTGATATCTTTGTTTTACAGAAAAACAACTGATTCATTTTATTTGTTGTTTTTGTTCTTTTGTTGATTTATGTTGTATATTTTAAATGTCTCCCAGTTTCAGAGTTAAATTTTAAAGTTTATTTATATTTGAGAAAGTGTTCTTGCATCAATTTATCATTTTATTACTTGAAAATGATCTGAAAACAACAATATTATGATTAATCATAATAACCTCTGGAATAATTTGACATCCTGTCTGTTATCATGTCAGGTCAAACTGTGACGAGATTCATACATCGACCCGAGGAAGGAAGGAGAAAGAAAGAAATCCATTCACATCAGTTCAAAAAGCTATAAAAGATTCATAACCTTAAAAAGGATTGCATCTTTAATTTTAGTATGTTCTAGAATGATTTAGTTCCAGTTAGTTTTTTGTTATTTTGTCAGCTTCAGTAACTTTGGTCATGTTTCCGGCTGAGTGAGCGTAGCTGTTGTTGTTCAGCCTTCCTGTTATCTGCTAAAGTGCCGCTCTCTCCCGAATGAGCTGCAGACATGTCAGAAAATGTTTGCCAGAAATAAAGTGTGTTTTAAATAATCCTCACACCTCACTGATCCTGAAAGCAACTAAGTTTGAGTTTCCTTCTGTCGGTAAGAACTTCCACAACGAAGAGTGTTGCTAGCTCGACCTAGTGCGGCTAAATGCGGTGCGTTTACTTATCAAATGAAGGTCGGATTTTTCAGTTGAAAAGCTCAGGTGTATATTTCTGATATATTTTTATCTCTGAATGAACTGCAGGAGCATCTTCTTCAACCTGCTAGTTTTTACAGTGTAAACACAGACACTCTTCACAAGGAGCTGAAATAAAGGCGACATCCATCCTTTCTGCTCTCCGATCAATCAGACAGACTGAATAAACTGATTCCCTGCCTTATCCGATGCAGCACCACCCGAAGAGGAAAACCGAAACAACCGCAGTCAGCAGAAACCTGCGCAGCCGCTTCACTTCCACGCCTGAATTAACAGATTTTAACGCTTCCCTGCTCTGCAGGAGCAGCTTTGCAACATCAACCACACTTCTCTTCTTCTTTCTAAAACCACAGCGCTGTCAGCGTTCAAATAAAAACCGGGAGCCGAGGCGGGAACAGGCGGAACACCAGAAACCTGATCCGGTTTCTGAAAATCAGACTTTCAGCTTCTCTATTTGAGTTTTTTTCATGTGAGAAAAAAATTACATCAAAATGTCTTTGTCTCTTCAGATTCATTATAATTTCTGAAAAACAGAAGCCATGTTGTGAAGTTTCTAGGAAATAAAATTAGTTAATTTGGGATCATTACAGAGAATGCTAATTAATTCTCATTCATTTCTGGCCTGGAGAGTCGAACGGTGAAATCCAATCAGGGCTAAGATGATTTACAGCAGCGATGCATTATCACTCATTTGTCCAACTGAAAAGAAAAACATGTTTTTCTGGTCCTGAGGATGGATTTTTAGAAAACTTCAAGTGACAACAGCAGCGTTCAAATCAACACTTTCAGAGGAAAACCTCTACAAGTTAAATAAAAAGGTTGGATGGTTTTCAAAATAAAACAGGAAACATGAAGTTGGTGCAACTGTCTGAATATTGAACAGTTAATTTATGCTTCCAAAGCAGAAACTGCATATATACGTTGATTGTTTTTCTGAAATCAGGAGATTCTGACCCAGAAAACGACGAGTCCGACTGCAGGGTGGCTCCAGCTTTTCACAGCCGTTCTCCGTTCATGTGTTCGTTATTTTTATGAGCTCACACAGTTTGTGTTAATTTTGCCCCATCAATCATTTTCTGCAGAGGAGGTGTCAACTTGTAGAAATGTCAGATCGATTCGTCGCATCCAGCAGACGTGTTAATCGCTTTCAAGGTAAAACAATCCACAAAAATAAACCGGCAGGTTATCTGCTGTCCAGCCTCTCACAGGAAGTCAATAATAACCTGAATTTCTTTGTGAGAATAAGATTTTTTGATGTGAAGTCATAATAAAGAGGAGGAAACAGAAACAGCCTGAGCAGATCGACCGTCAGAATATATTAAATCAGGAAAAATGCATTTTAACCTCAAACATTTCATTTTGATTTTTATTTAATTCATGCAGGAATAAATATGAGTTGTTCATGTAAAAGGAGCAGAAAAATCCCACTTCCAGAAATTTCGCTCAAGTAAGAATAGAAATATTTTATAGTGAAATTAAAAAGTAAGTTTTTCAAAAAAGTTACTCAAGTAAATGTAACAAGTTACAAACCCAACTCTGAATATGGAGCAATCAGTGAGTAACAAGAATATAAAACCTTTTTGTTCCGTGATTCCTTCACATTAAAAAATGTAGATAAATGTAAACCGCAGCAAGGAGACAAAATGCGTTAGTTTTAATGAGCAGATATCAGCTGCAGTGAGTTCTGCAGGGTGAACAGTAAGCTGAGTTTCCAGGTTTTGCAAGTCTTACCTTGTAGACCTGCCCCATAGGTGCCGTTTCCAACCAGTTCGACCAGCTCAAAGATCCCAGCCGGGTCCTGAAACAGAGACGAAGAGCTGAGCGACAGCTGAACGGATTTAAAACGCAGCTGACCTTCACACACAAACACGCCGTTATTAAAGCGCCGCTGCAGACCCAAGTATTCACTTTAAAATCCTTCCTGTCAGCACAACGAGTCCTGCAGGAGGGAAACTCTGCAGCACGTTCTCAGGCACTAATCCTCTCAAAATGAACTTTCTACATCGTTTGTAAAACATGTTTCATGAAGAAGAGACTAATAAACGTCTGAATGAAGTCAGATAAATGTTTTCTACAGGTGACTACATTTAAATGACTGGAAAAGCTTAATTTAAATACAGGTAAAGTTTTGAGTCAGATATTAGTTACTTTATTTCAGCCATCTTGTATCAGAAGTTCAATCAGTTTATCAATCGGTGAGAATCAACCGTCTTCTCTTTGTGTTGTGAAATAAACAGCATTCAAAAGTATCTAAAGCAAAAACTGAACTAATAATTCACTTTAATCTTCTTGAGCTTGATGAAATGTTTTTATAACGTCTTCTGAATCATTTTGTTCAGGAATCAAAGGTTTGTGATCTGAGCTGAAGTTTGTTTTTACGCTGATAAATAATCAGCTACATGAACTTCCTTCATTTTATCTCATCATAAAAACACATTAATCTGTTGAATCTGATTATCTACCACAGTTTAAGCTAGCTGTTAGCCTCGGCTAAAGCTAACAGTTCTTTATTTCCTCTTCGTTAAATTAGAAACATACATTTCCCTTTAAATTTTTATGAATTTCCACCAGGCTTCTTTAAAACAACTGTAGATTTAGAATTTAAATATTTAATAATAGAATTTATTTTAATTTAAAAGAGAAGTAGCTACCTAGCTGAGCTAAGCTAAATAGCAATAGCTAGATGCTAAAGCTAGTTTTCAGTTGCAGCTTCAAGGACAGAAAGTTGGTGTTAAAAAGCCGTAAGACTGAAACACATCCAGGTAGCTAATTTAACTAAAGGCTAAATTAATTCATTATTAAAACATGACTGTTTAATATTTTTTTAGCTTTTAACTTCAGTTATTTTAGCAAGATAAGTATTAAATTTTCTCCACCAAAGGTAAAACAAATAGCTAAAAAGAATGGTTCTTTGTAAACATGTCTTATACAGCTCAGGCAAAAAAAAAAAAATATCTCAGGTAAAAAAATATCTCAGGTAAAAAAATATCTCAGGTAAACTGGCACAGAGGAGCTTAATCTTATTTCCAGGTTAATTAAAACCATAAAATACTCCAAACACAGATCTTAACGTGTGAGTGTGTGTGTGTGTGTGTGTGTGTGTGTGTGTGTGTGTGTGTGTGTGTGTGTGTGTGGGTGTGTGTGTGTGTGTGTGTGTGCCAACAGTAGCCCACCGGAGAGCGTTGGGACTATTACAGTGCATCCTCCTGAAAAGGATTAGCTTAAAAAGCCACGTTCGTTTCCACTCAAGGTCAAAGTCAAGCACATGAAATCCTGGAGGACAGAGCGTCACGTGCACGCGCTTCCACGTGCGCGCGCCTCCACATGCACATGTTAACCTGTTACACTGTAAGGCCACACAGAAGAAAATACAACACTGAGATCCGTCACAGCTGAGATTTCCACGCTGACATGTTTGTTTTGATCGAACACAGAGAAATCCCGTTGAGTCTGAATCCAGTTATCTGTGGCGGCTAACGGTTTCATGGTGTCGATTACATCATCATTGTTTCTGCTTATTGACTCAGACGTAAACCATCAGATCACAGGAAGATTACAGGTTAACTCCCAACACAGGACGGGAGGATTCAGCTGTAAGCTGCTGCTGTTTGCATAAAGCAAAGAACAAACAAAAAGGCAAAATAATACAAAAATAATGTGCAAAATGAAGAAAACAGTCCAATAGAAACAGAACAAAACCAAAAAAAGAGACACTATGAGGCTGAAACATGAGAATCAGGACATGAGAATAAAGAGCTGAAATAATTAAATGAAAGTGCATTGTAGCTGTAAACTCAAACCAAATATGACTAAAAACTGATCCAATACAACAAAACATTTCCAAGAAATAATCCATGTCTGTAAGAAAATTACAATCAACCTCAACAGAACAAAAACGACAAGAAGGATTTCTCAAAACTGAGTTTCTACCAGTAAAACCAATGAGATGAAAATAATCACAATGATCTGAAGACCAGAAAGAACAAATCACAAAACAGACGCAACAAAAGCAAACGGAGAGACAGTTAAGAGAAGAAAGCGAGACACAATCTGGCTGTAAAAACAAGATGGAAAACAACCAGAGGGAGACACAAAGTGGACGCAGTGCGACAAACAATCACAGACGATCACAAAATGACAAAAAAGAACAAAAACGTGAAACAAGCACAGCTGGTCAGAAAAAAACCCTAAAGAGACAAAAATAATGTCAAAAAGAAGCAAAAACAAAAAAAACACAAGGAGAAAAAGAAAAGAAGATTAAATGAAATCTCTTTTACAAACTGACACCAACACATCAGCAGTTTGAAAAACATTCCTGAGTTTAACAGTCTGAGGCGAGTCAACCCAAAATCAGCTAACTGCTGCTAAAGCTAGCTGCTAAAATACTTTGTATGTTCTTCATTAGCATGAAAAATGAACAAATGTTTCTTCTAAATGCCTGAAATGTCATCAAATGCATAGAAAACAAAACTAGAAACATGAACATTTATCTGAATCTGAAACTGCTGAATAGCTAACTAGCCTAGCTCAATAAACTAGCCATGTTGCTAGCAGATTAAGCTAGATTTAAATCACACAGTTGATTTCCTGAAACTTTTCTAAATCTTCTAGCATTCTGGTAAATATTTTATGCATTTCAGATGCTTACTCTTAAAATGACAGTTTTGTTAGGAGGCACAACCGTTTGACGTGTCCTTCTCTTCAGGACTCGGTTTGCAGAAACCGAGTCACAGCCAGATGAGTGAGTAGGTCAGATAAATAACCTCCATCTCCACTGTTTCTCTACAGCAGCAGGTGTGCAGTGACTGTTCAGTCTTTCTGAAAACTAAACAGTTTCATGCTCAGAAAATCATCAACTGAGCTGATTTTATCAGCAAAGCACAAAGAATGAAGCTTGCACAACTTATAAAAATGTTTTCATTAAAACACACAAATTCACTCGATTTTATGTTTCAGAGCAAGAGAAAGTAGAACAAAAAGGGAAAGTAAGCATTTAAAAAAATAAAATCTGAAAAATAGTGCATAGCTAAAAGATAAATTTTAGCTATGCACTCACTTGTGGTTTTCCACATGTATTTTAGGCAATGCATGTAGAAAAGTGTGTTTGGGTTTGATGACATCTACACACCCGGAACACACAACCCCCACAGTGACACACGGTGGAGGCAGCATCATGCCGTGGGGATGATTTTCTTCAGAAAGGACAACAAACCCAGAACATACAAGGAAGCCAGGTTTAGGAATCACAACTGCAGATTCCTAAAATACACAAATACTGAAGACTCCCTCTAAAAACGTTCATAAATGTTTATGCTAATAGTTCACCTGATATTTTACTAATACCTAGTCTTCCTTATCTACAACTTGCAGAACAACCAATTAGCACCAAGGAACATTAAATGATTAGCATTCTGTCCAGGTGCTTCAGGTCTAAAGTTGCATTTTTTTTATATATTTTAAAAATCTGTGAATTTTCAGTGAACAGTTCGAACTTACAGGCTGAGTCCAGTACAACCAGGTCGTTATTCGGCGTATGGATGGTTTCAGTGGAAAACCTCCAGCGAAAACTGCCTCCAGCGAAAACTGCGCATGCGCAGAACCGCCGGTGGGAGTTTTTTTTCCCCTAAGCACCGCGGACAAAAACAACGTCCGGTAGCTTTATGCTAAATGTTTTCTTCCACCTGTTCGGTTTAACACAACTGCTGACACTAAATATCTGTGCGACATGAGCTTTTCTTGATAAACTGGAGACGCTCTGGTTTGTGTTTGAGATGCTAGCTAACGATCTGAAGGCTACAGGGTGAAACCACAGCGCCATCTGGCGCCCTGGCGTGAAAACGACACCAGATTAATGTCTGACCGGGAAATTTTAGTCCGATCAATATCCAGAATAAGTGCAGATTCCAGACAGTGGTCTTTACGGTTGTATTTCCTGATGGTTTGTCACAGTGAACTGTGCTGCGTCCTCAGGATGGCGCTGTAAGGCTCGTCCAAATGATTCAGCGGTGATATAACAGAAACCCAGACAGCTATTTATACCCTATCAGAGGTTCTGATGGGCCGGACCACGAACACTACACCGGGGCTGGGAGAGGGGATGCAGAAACAGGAAGTGACCTAATTTCTGCTCTGAAGCACTGAGGGAGACAGAGCTGGTTCTGGTCCTGGTTCTGCAGAACCTCTTCCTCAGTGTTTCCTCACATCTTTCTGCCTTCATCACCTCCTCCTCTTCCTCCTCCTGCTGCTGCTGCTGCTTCCTGCAGGTGTGTGTGCTGCAGACACACACCGACACGCAGACCCACCCCGCCGCTCATGTCCAGACCTGACGGCGGCTCTGCAGGTACCGCCGAGTTGCGTAAGCAGCTGGAAGCAGAAACAGGCGGGGGCCGCGCGGATATAACCCTCCGCTCCATGAAACGCTTCATCCAGCCATCATGGCTGACCTGTGAAATAATCTCAGTTTTTTTTCTTTATAACGCGTGCACGCGCACACGCTCACATTCCGGCACTGCACTTCCTATCAGCAGCTGTGATGCAAAGCTGCTGTCGCCACATCACGAAATGGCGGAACTCGCTGCTGTTGCGGTTATCGTCGCTGCTATTCCGCCGCGTGCGTGAGCGCGTGCGTGCGTGAGTCTGTGAGAGAGGAGAGGAAGTGCGCGTGCGTGCATTTGATGTCTTTGTGCAAAGTGTCAGTGAGGAGCTTAACATCTGCCCCACATAGTGCAGACAAGAGCGGCTCTGCGCGCGCGCGCCAGCGGCAGCTCTGGGCCTCATTACATCACGTCCCAATTGTTGAGCAGAAAACACCAAAACAGAGAAACCACCGATACATCTGATCACCGACCTGATCTCCTCAATCAGCGTCCCCACGCGCGCGCGCATCTACACAAGTGTGGGATTGGCGCACGCGCGTGCACGCTGAAAGCGCCTTTGGAGACACATCCACTGTGATGCTGGAGAGGATGGAGAGCTGGAGGAGGAGGAGGGAAGAGGAGGGGGGACAGGTGTTGCACATGCACGCGCTCACACAGAAAAAGGACACGCACGCGCACACGCACAGAGCGAGACATTTACCCGTAGTGCAGACAGGTCTATCTCATCCAGACTCCGCGCCGGGGAGTCGCTCGCCATGGTTCCGTCGGTAGAAGCGCGACTCAAGATGGAAGCTTCCTCAACGACCATCGACCGGGAAGTGATGAAGGCTCGCTCCTCTTCTCCTCTTCACCAGGCCGGAGCGCCGAACCCCCCACCCGCCCCCGACAGGAGCCCCGAAAAATCCCGCTGAAGGCGATGCCGACCGGAGGAAATATCCGGGAGGCGCGCAGCCCGCAGAGCCGAGAGGAAGAGGAGGAGGAAAAGGAGGAGGCGATGTGCGCGCAGCTCCAGGTGCTACATGCTGCTCGGACCGCCACAGCCCGTCCTACATGCCTTCATCCAGAACCGGGACCGCGGAGGACAGATGCGTACAGGAGCAGCGGCCGAGGCGCACTGAGGAGGCGGCGCGCTGGCCGGGAGTGGCCAGAGAGGAGGCTGCGCTTCACGGGGAGCCGCCCACCGCGACGCGCCGCACACACCTCCACGGAGCGCGGCGGGACCGGACCGAACCGCGCAGCCGCACCATCATTAGAAACCTCCAGCTAAAAGCGGCGCTTCATTCAGAGCCGCGCAGAAACAGGCTGGGGAGGGGGCACCGGCCCTTTAGAATGGGTTTTCTAACATTTAATATAATATAATATAATATAATATAATATAATATAATATAATATAATATAATATAATATAATAATATAATAATGGCATTTTGTAAAGTTTTACATGTAGACTATATTAGTAATAATATTATAAATAGTGAATAAGTTAATATCTAATTGCAGTTACATATTAGTGTGTAATATTATAACCATTAGCATTATAACAATAATCTACTGAGTTCGTCGCTTCAGACCAAATACCTGCAGAAAGGAGTCGTTGCCACGGCAACCTGTCGATTATGGTCTTTAAATCAATTATTAATTTTATTCTGCAAAGTCATCGGCAACATGTTGGAGCAACGCTGCTCCCATTTCTTCTTTTCTAGACTTTTGTTCCATTTTTTCTAGTTGCGGCGTTGAATGTTTGAACAGTTAATCCTCTGCTCTCACTTTTTACTTTTGGACAGGTAGGATTTGTAACCATGGCAACAACGTTTTATTTGTATGATGCCGAGGAGCTGATTAGCATCTCAAAAGCTAAACTAATATTCCAACATCCCTCTAACTGACCAGAGATTTAACTGGAGCAGAAAAAGCTAATGAGATGGATTAGCTGAACTGGCTAGTTGATGCTAGCAGTCTTCAGTCAGAGGCGTTTTCAGATATATTGGAAGCCTGACTGCTAGTGGAGATTCTTCCTGCCCACATTTCATCTCCCTTTGGGAAAATCAGGTGATTTTGAGCTGAACTGAGCTCCAGGTAACTGGTTTTATTAAAATAATATTAAATAACAGACTTTCATGTTGACAAGAAGCCATTGTTTCCACCAAGCTCAAGAGTTTATAGTAATAATAACTAAAGAAAAAGGAAATCAAAGGTCAGTTTTGACTCTGGCTAACAACCAGCCAGCAGAAAAACTCAGACATCCTGGAAGGGATTAGTTTCAGTTTTAGACAGACATCATGTTCAGGCAGGTAGAAGCAGCTTCCCGAACAAAACCAAACCACAGAACAGTCAGTGTTTCACCTGGAGATAAGACCGAGGGAGACACAACACCTGAACCTGCTGGAGTTCAGCCCTCAGTCACAGATCCATCATCTCCTCTCCGGTTGACCAACTGGCCTGCTGTCACCGCCGTCTATGTTCTACTGGCTCCACCTAGAGGCAGAGCTGAAAACTGCATCCTGGAGTGAATGAAGGAGCGAACAGAACAAGAGAAATAAACCATAAAAACTGGATTATGGTTTATAAACTGCTTATAAAAGACTTGTGCAACCACTGAAAAAAATATTTTAAAGTTTCTGGGAAAAAAGGCTGAAACGCCAGGAAACAATAGTGCAACAAAAATAATAAATATTTTTTTAAAAATGTGCTAACTTCAGAAAAATGCTGTTGCATCTTTAGGAGAAATTGCTGCAACCACAGAACAAATTGCTACAACTTGGGGAAATGCTGCATTTTCAGAAATACTGAAACTGCAAAATAAAAGCAAAACCCCAAAAACGTAAAAAATAGTTAAAACAAGTTTAAAACTTTACAAATTGGTTCCATAAAATAAAGTAATCCAGCCACTAGGTGGAGTCAAACGGCAGATCATTTGGAAATTTCATAGTTTTTTGATGTCCAGAAGAAAATGGAGTTTTACTTTGTCTTTTACGTTACAGAACAGTAGCAGAATCACGAATCCATTACCTATGCATGACTCCCCCTAGTGGTCTGGAGTACTTCTGTATTCTGTGAAGGAAGTTTGCAGGATTTCATATTTTTGATTTTGCGACTTGTGGCATTTCCTTCTGTTTTTATTTCCTCCATTTGCAGCATTTTTCTGTTGCATTTGTTTTTTGTGTTTGCATGTTTCTGCCACCGTAACCGGAACCAGTCATGATTTACCAACCTGGACGGTTCAGATCATTTACCTCCAGAATTTAATCACCTGAAAACTACATTTTTGCTCCTTAGATGTTGAGAAATGGAGTCAAGAAATGAAGAAAAATGCACGATGTCTTCATTTTCATTAACCCTTAATTTATTGAGTCCAATGTTTCACTGGAGCAACATGATGAGACACAGAAGAGCAAGAAACAACAGTCTGTGCAAATAGTGCATTTCAAAGAGAAACAGGCAGACGAGAGAAAAACCAGGCGGTCAGATTCAGAGCCACTGCAGCCAGAAACAGAAAACCTCTGCTCAGTTTGTGCAAAGCTGCAAAAAGTCTTGATTTGACAGAAAAAAACCACTAACTGGAGGTAGAAACACAGAGGTAGCGTCATAGAAAGCTCTCCGGGTCATGCTGAGGTCAGCCGGGTCATGGCAACAGGCTGGGGTCAAGCAGGTGGCGACCCGGGTCGCGGCTCCATGCAGATAAACACCACAGAACATTTAGTTTACAGTTTGGCCTGAAAAAACCGCAGCTGGTCATAAACAAAGGCCACCAGAGGGCAGCAAAAACAAACCAAACACTCAAATTTAAATCTTTAAGAGAAAATATTCCTCATGCAAATAGAGTTTCATATGGACGATCTTTTTATTGCACTTATTTATCTTGGTAAACTTCATTGCTTAATAATTTTACTGTTTTGTTAATGGAGCGTTGCAGCAAACTTTCGCTCAATATTTTCATTTTAAACGTACAGTTGAATGATGATAAAGTCTGTTTATTTCTATGCCGAATAAGGATAGTATACAGATATTAAAAATAAAAAAGGAGGAAGAAACTTAAGATTAAACTAAAATGAAAGTTTAAAGGAAAATGTCAATTTAAAGAAATAAAACCTGAAAATAATTTTTTAAGGTTTTTTTCTTTCAGATTATTTTTTTTTTTTTTCATTTAAAATTTTCAGATTTAGACCATTTCAACCCAGTTATAGATTTATTGTTTCAAATATAAGTTTTCCAGATTCAAACCTGTGGTGAGAAATTATCCAGTAGAAAGTTGTACAATTTGTCCAAATAAAAAAAAATAATAAAAAAAATTCACTGACACCCAAATACCTCCAAAAATAATACAAAATAAATAAATAATATCTTCAACAGAATCAAATTAAGTGTTAATATTTCAGATTTTTAGTGACTTTAGGTCATTCTGCTGCCCTCTAGTGGCCAGGAAGTGACTGTACAAACCAATATAACCACTTCACTTCTGGACTCTTCATGCAGCACAACAGTTTCAGTCTGAGAGGCAAAATGTTGGTTGATTTTGAGAAGAAAAGCTATAAAGTGATTTAATTTGAGACGAAGTTTGTAAAATGATTTCGGCCCAGAAGAATCGCGTCACAGTGAAGGGAGGAGTCAGTGGAGCGAGTCCGACGGCTTCCATGGGTTTTGGCACATTTAACAGAATTAGCATCGAATTCCCGCCGTTTCTATCCGTTAGTGTTGAGCTGCGTTTCCCAGCGCTGGATGTTGCATAGTGTTCACAGGAGCAGAGCGGCAGAGTCAGTATCCTACAGGAAGTGGGTTTTCAGGCACGGCGGTGCTGGATAGTTTCAACCAATCAGATCCAATGATCAGTGACTGGAGACATGAAACCTGCGACTGGTTGAGGAACTTTGGGAGTTTTGGCTGTTTGGACGAATCGGGCCGGTTCCCGTCCCTCCTGGAGAGCAGCAGGTCTTCTGTAGAGCGGGCCGCTCCGCTCTGCCGGGTTCAGGCTTGCAGGTTGATTCTGTCTTTGGCACAACGGCTGCTTCCGTCAGGCTGGACCTCGGGCGGGTCGCCCCGCCGTCATCGGACTCAGCCAGAACCTGAGCAGAAGGAGCGGCTCCCGGTCCGACGCGCCGCTCAGGTCCAGACCTCCATGGGGACCATGGCCTCCTTGCAGCCGATGGGCGGCAGCAGGTTCTGTTCGATCATGAACTGGAGCGGGAACTGGACCAGGAAGCCGCGGATCTTCTTCAGCTCCTCATGGGCGCGGGCCGGTTCGTCCCGGGCCAGGCCCGGTTTGGCCAGGAAGCCCTCCAGCTCCGAGATGTTCCGCACGTCGCTGGACGGCAGGCAGCGGAAAACCTGCAGCAGCGGAGAGAAAGGTCAGAGCGGCGCAGGGTGAGGGGTCGTTACCAGGGAAACACCGATATCAATACTTTTTATCATTTAGATCTGATTTAGCAACAAACTTCTGACTTTTAGGAGTTTTTATGTTTTTACCTTGAAATTATTTTGTTAAAACTTTTAGTTCTAAGTGCCCAAAAAAACAACTTTAACAACAAATTTACATTATAAACATACGGAAGACGATTAGTGCCACTGGAAAAAAGGATTTCAGCTGAGAAGATTAAAGTCAGAACTCTGAGAAAAAAAAGAAAAACAAAGTTTAAATTCTGAGAAACAAAAATTTAGAGATTCTCTCATGTTAAATGTTTGTAACTCGTGTTCTGACTCATGTTGGGTTTTCAGGAAACATCAACATCATTTAAAGCTAAAAAACTCCAGGATCCTCCAGTCAAAACCCAAAACCTGAAACTGGTCATGTGACTGGTCATGTGAGGTTGCCGTAGCGACAGCCCCACCTTCTGGTAGATGGAGGCATTGCGGGCGCAAGTGGCCATCCAGGTCTCCTTGTAGAAAGTTCGCTGGGGATCAGAAACGTCGATGGACGGATCGGTGTTGGCGCCGAGGATCATCCTGAGGAAGAGGAGACAGGAAGTTCAGACATGGAGGAAGATCAGCAGACAGGAAGTTCAGACATGGAGGAAGATCAGCAGACAGGAAGTTCAGACATGGAGGAAGATCAGCAGACAGGAAGTTCAGACATGGAGGAAGATCAGCAGACAGGAAGTTCAGACATGGAGGATCATCAGCAGACAGGAAGTCATCATGA